CCATTGTGATTCCAGGATATCCTCTTCTCGGTCCAGGATTGCCAGCAAGGCCGTTAGTGCATTTTCCCCAGAGATGTTTGTATATATGGATTCCACATCAAAACTTACCAATAAGTCTGTTTCTTTCAGTGCCATGTTCTTGATTTTTTGAGAAAATTCACATGAATGTTTCACCGTGTTTGATAGCATGTCATTAATTTCTTGATATTCAAACATATAAACTTTGCCAATTTGTGTGTTGCTCCATACTTTTTGTTGCCTATCAGCCTTAGTGGCTTACCTTCTTTGTGTATCTTCGGTAATCCGTAGGCTGTTGCTGGTCATGCATCCTTTCGTATGATTGAATTCCTTGTCCATGCGTCAATTTCCCTATTCCTATGCATGTCTTTCTGCATGGCACTTAAGATTCCATTGATTTTCCTAGTTGGGTCTTTGTTTAATATACGATATGTGGTCCTGTCTCGTAAAATTTGTTCCAGCTTAGTATATTGTTTTTTGTCCATTATCACTGTAGCTCCTCCTTTGTCCGCCTGAAGGACTAATTGTTAATTCGTTTCCAGGGTATTGCGTATCCTGGCAAATCTGTACCTGTGTATTCGTTCTTGGTGTGTCAAGACCTCTGGAATTAGTTCCATCTCCATTTCTCATTTTGTCTCAGGGAAATTTTCGGAGATATTGATAACCTTCACCAGGATGTTTCCAAGAAGGCTTCTGTCATTTAAAGTGAAAAGCTGAGTACTTTTTCCAGGATCGTGGTGGTTTCGGGATCAAGAGGAAATGTTTATAAATTCCCTACTTTCTTCTGATCGTCGTGCTCATTAGTAGGTGTTGTCGCATCGGAAACCACTACAACTAGGTGTACTGGCTTAAAGTTAGGTTGTCTTATAATCCAAATTATACGCAATTTATAGTCGTGTCGTTTTGTTATTAAGTCATAGATCCTACGTGATTTCCTGTCGGTCGTGCTCTGGAATTTTTGAAAGTCTTCCGGAAGCACGATCCTGGCCAGATCACACCGAAGCTTTGGCTTGACGTAAATAGCTTATTCCTCACCGTATCATAAGTTCTACTTCGTTTATCAATAGAAGCCTGGTAGGGATACTCATTGACTTTATCCGAATGATAGGGACGCTTGTGGTCACAAAAATCAGGAGTGATACAATAGCGGTTACAGCAGCTTAAAAAGGTCAAATGGCACGATTGACTTTCAATTGTCTTCTTTGCCCGGCTGTATTCAGTGCTTTGTCTGACAGAGTCAATTGAAATTAATAAAACAAAGAACATCCTGAATAAGAGGAACTGAGTAAGAGGAGAAAACTAGACTAAGCTGAAACTTGTTTTTGAACCTAAAATTGTCAACCAACTCAAGGTTGTTGCACACACACGCAAACAGGCATCCACGAAGCTGCAACAAGACCCAGGACTACTGGATCATACTCTAGTTTACTTACATTGACAAAAGTTGTGACCACTTCCGCTCCCCTGCCTGCATCAATTGGTCCACGTACAGGCATGTAGGACAAGCATAGGTCAGGCAACAAAATCATGTAATGCTTCACTAAGATCGCAAGTAGGATTTCAGCTGGCCACCTTGCTTGGCTTAGTACTTTTTGGTGATTTTACCGTGAATAATGGTTTCTGGCTCTAACGACGTTCGTCATATGAGGGACGAAAGCTCAGCACGAAGTCATCAGTATCGTAAGACTGTGATCCGAAGTTTTCCTCGCACAATTCAACAGATAAAAGTCTAAGGTAACCCTCCTGCGTTATCCGATGCTGCCACTCTACGAGTCCCCTCGAACCCCCTTCTCAAACGAAATGAAAGGTACGCAGAGGCTTATCCTATCTACCATATCAGAGGACTTCAAAAAAGGTTCTTTTATCTATGTCAAACTGACAACGCGCTAAAGTTATGAAAATAATGTTAAGCCATTGCTATACAGCGAACGAAGACTTCGACCATATCATCTTAGTCTTCAAATCTAACTTAGTCAGCTTAGGTCGTTTAAGGTGATTTAAGGAATGGTAGTTGAGTTTTCATACACTGCAAGAAGCAGGCCTCAGGATGGCATTGGGCTTAACTTTGCCCTGCCTTCCAAAAAGCTATCTTATCCAGGGGGACTACAGTTTCGTCTTCGCCATACCATCTCATCAGCACCTTTAACCGGATTCGATACCAGGAGCTACTCCGTCACTCCGCTGCATTCACACGGGTGCCCGCGTGTCACAGTACAGAATTAACACTAAAGGAAAGCCGTATCTCTAACAAATCACATTTACAAAGCGAATATCAATCAAGTAAACATGTAATTGCCATTGAAATCAACGATGTTACTTGTCATTAGAATGAGTAGGCTTTTATACCATCGGTAATTTTTAAATAAGAACATTATTTCTTTTTCCTGTATAAGTGGGTTTTCGAGAATATCAGTAGATCACATTTATAAGGTGTATTCATCCAATTTCGTTTAAGGTGATAAGGTGACTGGTAGTTGAAATTTCAAACAATGACACGAGTAGACCTTATTTTTCTATAGCCATGCTTCCCAAAAAGTATTCTCATCAGGGCAGGAGTGAACTGCAGTTTCTACTTTGCCTAGGTCTCCTCAGCATCTCTAGTCTCGAAAATTTATTTATATTAGAAAAAAAGTAATGCGGTCTATTGCTATGGCAAGTAAAGCTTTGCATCATCGAAAAACCCATCACAGAATGTCATAGGGGAAAATGCCTGGCCTTCCCGGAAATGCACATCTTCCCTGTCACTCACGGGCACTCTTGGCAATGTGGCGTAGTCGTTGCTGTGTCGAGATTATGCGCTGCATTGTCATGGT